CACACACCGTTCCCTCCCCCCCCCCCCCCCCACCGAACGAGGCCGAAATTGAGTGGCTACACTCAACCTTCTGGGACGGTTGCAAGCTTGCAGTTGCGATACTCTGCTTGCTGTGTTGCTATACATACGGTTTGCAACCCCCCCCATCGGTGCAGAAATCGAGTTGCTGTACTCCACATGCGGTGACCGGTGACAAGCTAGCAGTTGCTACACTCCGCTTGCCGTGTTGCTATACACCCCGTTTACCGCCACCCCCCCCCACTGATGCCGAAATTGAGTTGCAAAACTCAACTTGCTGCGACGGGTGATAAGCAGGCACCGCTCGCCGTGTTGCTATTCACCCCGCGTACCACCCTCCGTCGCCGACAGTGAAGTTGCTATTCTCCGCCTGCTGTGACGTTAGGCTACAGTTATCAGAAGTTGCTGTGTTGCTCGGATTGGCAGGTTGCTGTACTGCTATGCATATGCAGAAATTGCATGGTGTTTGTAGTCATTCTATTTGCGCAAGTCAGAAGTTGCTTACTGCTGCATTGCTGCGTGTTGACATACACCCCGTCTACAACATCCATGGGTGCAGACATCGAGTTGCTATACTCTACCTGTCGCGACGGGGATAAGCTAGCAGTTGTTACACTCCGCTTGCCGTGTTGCTATACACCCCACTCCCCACCCTCCGTCGCAGACATCGAAGTGCTATACTCGGCGTTCTGTGATGTTACGCAAGTCAGAGGTTGCTATACTTCCCATTACTGCGCGCTAGCGTGACGTAGCGCTGCCGATGCGGTGGAGGAATCGAGTTGCTATACTCTACGGTACCTGTTGTGACGGATACAATGTAGCAGATGCAAAACTCCGCTTGCCGTGTTGCTATCCCACACCGTGCAGCACAGAACAACCCCCATCGGTGCAGAAATTGAGTTGCTGTACTCTCCTGCTGGGTCCAAGCTAGCAGTTGCTACTCTGGTTGCCGTGTTGCTACACACACCGTTTACAACCGCCCTCCTTCCCCCCCCCATCGATGCGGTGCAGGAATCGAGTTACTATGCTCTACAGTACCTGTCGTGACGGATGCAAGCTAGCAGATGCAATACTCCGCTTGCAGTGTTGCTATACGCACCGTTTACAATCCCCATCGGTGAAGAAATCGAGTTGCTATACTCTGCCTCCAGTGACGGGGGCCAGCGAGCAGTTGCTACTCCGCTTGCCGTGTTGCTACGTACACACACCGTTTACCCCCCCCCCCCACCGAACGAGGCCGAAATTGAGTTGCTACACTCAACCTTCTGGGACGGGTGCAAGCTAGCAGTTGCTATACTCTGCTTGCCGTGTTGCTACACACACCGTTTAAAACCCCCATCGGTGCAGAAATCGAGTTGCTATACTCTACATGCTGTGACCGGTGACAAGCTAGCAGTTGCTACACTCCGCTTGCGGTGTTGCTATACACCCCGTTTACCGCCACCCCCCCCCCACCGATGCCGAAATTGAGTTGCAAAACTCAACTTGCTGCGACGGGTGATAAGCAGGCAATTTAGTTGCTCCGCTCGCCGTGTTGCTATTCACCCTGCGTACCACCCTCCGTCGCCGACAGTGAAGTTGCTATACTCCGCCTGCTGTGATGTTAGGCTACAGTTATCAGAAGTTGCTGTGTTGCTCGGATTGGCAGGTTGCTGTACTGCTATGCATATGCAGAAATTGCATGGTGTTTGTAGTCAATCTATTTGCGCAAGTCAGAAGTTGCTTGCTGCATTGCTGCGTGTTGACATACACCCCGTCTACAACATGCATGGGCGCAGACATCGAGTTGCTATACTCTACCTGCCGCGACGGGGATAAGCTAGCAGTTGTTACACTCCGCTTGCCGTGTTGGTATACACCCCACTCCCCACCCTCCGTCGCAGACATCGAAGTGCTATACTCGGCGTTCTGTGATGTTACGCAAGTCAGAGGTTGCTATACTTCCCATTACTGCGCGCTAGCGCGACGTAGCGCAGTGCTTACCGCCCGTCGGTTTGACCAGTTGGATGTTACGATATTCCAATTGCTGTGTTGCTATTCCCCCGTCTACGCGCGCCCTGTACTCCGGGTGCTGTGTTGCTATACACACACCCCGCTCGCAAAATAGGCAGATATGCATGGTGCTTGCCGTCAATCTATCTGTCAGAAGTTGCTATACTTCCCCTCCGTCTATGCAAAATCGGAGTTGCTATAATAACTCACCTGCTACGGTGTTGGTGCCAGTCAGCAGTCGGTCTTCTCTGCATGCGGTGTTGCTGTCCACCCCGCTTACACTCTCCGTCTATGGCAATTCGGAGTTGCCAAGTCGCTCTGTGATGCTTGCCGTGTTGCTCGAACACCCCGCGTACACGCCTTCGTCTATGCACAATCGAAGTCGCTAGATTCCAACTGCTCCGGCGTTGGGGCAAGTCAGAAGTCGCTATACTCTGCTTGCCGTGTTGCTATGCGCCCCGCTTTCATCACGCGAGTCAGCAGTTGCCCCAATCCAATTGCGGTGTCGCCATACACCCGGAGTGGGGGAGCCGCTTCCAGCCCTCCTTCGCATAGTAGACTATGGACGTACAGTATTGCTTTCGGCGTAGCCAGATGTGGTGAATTAAGGTGCTGGCCACCCGTCTCAACCTATCTATGCAAGTCAGAAGTTGCTGTGCTTCTGGTTGCTGCGGGGCGTTCGGTATCTCGTGTGCATTACCCAATTCGAATAATCAGTCGCGATACTTCGGATCGCTGCGGTGCTGACCGCAAATAAATGTTGCACGGTGTTTTGCCGTCAATCCATCTTCCACGCCAGAAGTTGCTGTACTGTCGTGCTCCGTGGTTAATCTACACATCCGACCGCTAGCTAGCGGTGGGTCGCTACTACGGTAGATCTATGCCTCACTCCGTATATGCAAGTTGGAGGTAGCTGTGCATCCGTGCTGGGCTGCCAGGTGTACAATCGGCTGCTAGCCGTTGTGGTGACGGTGCTTGCTGTCCATCGCAATAATCGTAATTCCGAACGCTGTGTTGACACCCGGCCTCTGTAAGCAGACTTCCAACCGTTGTGACCCCGGTTTCTTCAGTCTAGGACGTGACTGTTGGTCGCTGCACACCAAGATCGGGGTTGCTCCACGCGGGGCCGTTGGACAGACGTGCCATGCATCCGGCTGCTAGGCCGCCGCTCGTCGCTACATAGTCCGATGTTGGGCGGCGCTTGTCGTCGACCCATGTACGCCAGCCAGAAGTGGCTGTTCATCCGATTGCCGTGTTGCCCTACACCCGACCGCCTCCCAGACATGGCGGCGGTTCTTGCCGTCATCTCAATTGACGCAGGTCAGCGGGGGTTATACATCTGATTGCTGTGTCGCTATACATCCGGCCGCGGCCCAGGCGCTCGCCAAGAGCCAGACATGGTGCGGTGCTTGCCGCCAATCCATCCGCTCGTCGGTTCACCGGTGTGGGGTTCCCCCCGAATGTTTCAGGTATCCCAGCGGCATGTGCCTTAACA